TTTTTTTTTTTTTTTTAAGGCAGTTGAATTGTCAGTTATAAATCTGTACTGATAAACTGTGAGAGGTCCTAACATTTAACTATATACCCTACAGTTAGGGGCTTTCATTCTTTTTCACAAGTTCTCCAAAAGTCTGTTTCCTTTATTTAGTGGAATGAACTAATAATTGGCTGTGTTGATGGCCACTTAGGTGACTCTTTCATAAAAGCCATGCTAAAGTGCATGCATCATAGCAGACTGTCTGTGCATTGGAAAATTACACTGCTCAATGTGAAAAAAAGCCATGAAATAATCACCTAGACGCTTCCAGCTGCTTTTCCATGGTTCTTTGCAAGGAATGAATGAATTGCCTCAATCAATAATGCAGCTAGATTTATTTTTTGCCAGCAAAGTCAGACATCTAGCAAATATAATCTGTCTGAGCCACTTAAGCTTGTATGAATCCACTGGCTTTATGCAAAGCTTAATTCATCTGTTAGAATGCTTTGAAAAGCTCTTTTTTTCACAATGAAATCAGTGCCACATCCCCATGCCACTAAGAGAACAATCCAAAGTAATCTTATGATGCCACTTGTTTTGGGTAAAGCAAATTTAAAAAAATCACTTGCAATGTTGCAGAACTTTATCTCTCTGGTCCCTTGTTCTCAAAAATCTTACTAAATCTGAAGCAGACTACCAACAAATATCACCAGGGAGAGCTGAGGGGGTAAAAAAGGGGGTGCAGGAGAGCATCATCTGCTGGTTTTAAAAGTATCATTTCCCTAAAAATGATTTTTTTTTTCAAAAAATCAAAGCTTGGTGCTGTTTAATACAATGTACCACGATCAGTGTTCAATAAAATAAAAATTAAAAATATACATTTCTATACATAGAAAGGCTAGTCAAATCATTAAATCAGTGAAAATATTGGTTCCGATCTCACACCCTCACTTTGAGGCCCTCATCGCTGTGGGTCCACCAAATATCGTCCCGTCACTAAGCACCACTAGAGGGCACCAAGGACACTCCCAAGTCATTGATTTCGCATTGTGTCAAATCATTCGGCATGTGATTGCAGTTAAATAACACATGATCTAACGGTAATGTAATACGCCGCTGGGATATTGATCAATGAATTTCATAATTATTTTATTTCCTGACACCTAATATTGTGGGGGAAATCAGACGGTTGAGAAAGTAGGATAGCTAATTAAAAGTCGTGAAAAAGACGGAGACGCAATTATCTGTCATATTTGCAGAAAAGACATTGATCTTTTTGCACTGTTTTCATTTCCCTGACTTTTAATGCGTATGCGGGTGGTATCTGGGTAAGTTGATGTGAATAGAAATGAAATGTACTAATGGTGAGCAAATAAAGAAGAATCAGAAGAGACAACTGTTAAGTGGGAAATGGAACTCAGACTTATTGACCGAGCGACACCCAGCTGTATCTGGATAATATGTTGTAGGGACTCGCGTCATATCATATCTTCATTCTGCTGGTGTAAGGCCTGCAAGGCTAGCTGTGCTGAAGCAGCTTTCATGTACTAGTAACTGGTGTATAAGGCAATCCACAGAAGATTAGAAATGCACCACAGTCATTTATCCTGCACAGCTTCTTACATTTCTAGATTCAGACAATGAAGTTTCTTCAGTAATTCTATAATTGTTAATGTCAGTATGGCAGTCACTGATCTAAATGACTGATCAGAAAATACAAACAAAACATTTAAAGAAAATTATAATATCTAATCAATTTCCTGTCCTACATGAGTTTTCTTCAAATTACTTTCAAACTTATTTTGCTGTTGCTAGTTCAACAATTTGATCAACAAACTTGAAAATCTGAGTATTTATTCATTCTCAGACAGAATTGAAAGATGTCAATCACTAAAATCTTTCTTTTGTTCATTCAGATAAAACTACTTCAAATAAGTGAAAGAAAATTCTATTAGGGAACTTCAATCATGTTTGCAAACTGCCAACAAATACTGTTTATAATTTTCAAAATAAACAGCAGCAAAGAATACTTGAGGATTTTAACATGATTTGGGACTTATAACCACCAATAACTTTTCACTCTGTGTATTTTTATTGCTGCTTACAAGTGCAAGTCAAGTGCACAACTACAAACTTTTAAATATTTAATTGTTGATTTAGGGGTCATAAAAAGAGCACCATATATAATGCCAGCAATTTATGTGCAGAGAAAAGAAATTTCAAACACTTGTTGGACTGTACATGTATATCTAATGTTTGGAGTTGCCAACTCAAAAAGTTCAAAACCACAATGATCATTTCTTATTTGTCAGTTTTACTTTTATGCTTTTGATTTTTATGAAATAATATTTGACAAAAAATAACCTTTGCAGTCTTTGCAGCAGTTACAAAAAATTATTTTGTAAAATGTCCGGAAAAAGTCATGACATGTACTAGTACATATGTAGCACAAGATGGAAAAGGGTGTGTGGAAATTTTAAAAAAATAGTCATTTATTAGTGCAAGCCAGTTAAGTGCTAGATAAGTCACACATTGAGTGCCTAAAATGCGGTAATCAGTATACTGATAACACTAGTTCAAATATATATTAATGGCTACCAAATTTACTCAAGGCTGGGCATGTTCACAAACTATATATCACTCTTGTATCATTTTCCGCAAGAGACAATGACTTAAACAAATTTGCCGTTAGATGTATTACAGATATTCGATCTTCCACACTTTCAAAGCAAGATGAAATTGGTTGATAAACACACGTGTGTTTACATTGAAATCGGATAACACTGCCACACACAAATAGGCAATAATTCAGTTTGAAATTATGCATCACTTCATTTAAATTTTCGCCAAATTATCGTCTAAACGAACAAAGTAAAATGCAGTAAATCAGACGTGCAATGTTTGGTTAATCATTTTAGAGGACTTCACAGAACGTTGCTGACCAGGTATTGTTTTGTCACTGCCGAATTATACTCGACCGCCTTTTTCCACTTACCTGTCTTCAACGAAGCCGGCTGCCATCGGTTTGGGCCGGGCAAGCTCATCTACTCGCCTTATTGACGCTGAAAATACACAAGACTTATTAATTTCTGAGTGAAAGTTAGGAGAAATATGCAAAAATTCCAACACAGGAAAAATCTTCCTCACCTTCCACCGCCATGCTGGTTCTTGTTGTCATGTGGCAGAAGCTCGTTGCTAGCGTTGTCACTAGGGACTCAGTTTTATGGTAATGAGGTCGCGCGGGGCACTTTTGTGCCTCATTCACAAAAGATTACAATAAGCGCGCTTTGAGTAAACAGCGTAGTAAACACGATGGTTTTGTGGAAAAACAAATTTATAACTGACTCAAATTAGGCATGAATTTAGGTTTTGTGCATATGTGAAGCGATACAGATGGACAAGATTGATAAAATAACTGATCTCTTTGTACATTTGACAAAATGTGCCGCTCCAAAGAAATTTGCCTTTCTGGGTTTCAGCTCGGTCCATATCAAAGTAAGGGTTTAAAGAATCAATAATTGAATAAATAAACAAGAAGAAATGAAAACATTTAACACATAAGTAAGTATAGGCTAAAAGTAAAATTCAATTTCGATTCGTCAGTTTTTTCCTTTTTTTATCTCCCTTTAATTTGAATTAAAAGCAATAATTTAATTAACCCATTTTAAATTTATTTATAATTACATTGATGAACAATATTTTTAAAGTAGTATGGAAATCTGTCAAATGTGAAATACAACTTTTTTGTCTTCCGTTATGTTAATGAAATTGGCACACACGGGATTCATAATTATTATATATTTATTTATAACTATATCTTTTTTTTTTTTTTTTTCTTAAGGCATGGCATTTAACAAGATCTCAAGTTATAAAAAAAACAGAGTTACATTTGTAAACTTTGAACATAAATCTCTTTTCATAAATAAAAAGTGAAAATTTATAAAATTAACCATGCGAAGACTACATTTGATCACTTAGACTTATTATTTTTAATATTAGAAATGATCTAAGACATGAGAAAAAAATATATATATGCGCAACTCCAAGATAACCTTAAGTATACAAAGTATTGCAAAAATAAATATATATGCAGTATTGAACAGCCTGAAATGTTATCAGTAAGAACGTCAATGGCTTGATCGAAAACGAGGTCTATCAGGGGAAAGCGAGACCTTCCGTTCTCAAATGTTTGGAGATTAGAAAATTCAGCACGTGGATCGTGGATCAGTTTACACATTTGTTACTGTAAGTTTGAAGTTTACTCTTAGTTATCTGAAGTCACAGTGTCCTTCAATTTAGATAGAATTAAGATTAACGTGCTACATATTTTCGTTATCATGGTAAATAAGGTTTCGGAGAACGCACACCCTAGATAAATGGGCTATGTTGATGGCTTCCTGAAGTTTTCTCTCGATCGCTGTACCTATCTGGTTGAGTAGAAATGGTAGAATCAGTAAAGAATATGTTGAATTTTAGTTACACTTTTATATTTATCCATTATTTGTGTATTTTGAAACATGGTTTTACGAATTATCAGGGAACGACTGGAAAAAGTGGGTACTGATCTCTAACATTTTAAAAAGTTATCTCAGCTGCCCGGCAACCTGATAGTTTCAAAGATCTCTGCAGGGAAACTCACCATTAAAATCAAGCAGGCCTACGTCGTTTCAGCAGTGTGGGGGTATTGATACTTGTTTTTAGCCATCTAGTCATGTTTCACATGAAACAAATAATTTATTAGTAAATCTATCACTTAATTAGCATGAAAATTCATGAGTTAGCACTCCTGTGGAGGGTTCGAACTGACATGTACTGGCTGTCAGTAGGAGTGGTAACGCATGAATTTCCATGCTAATCTATTTCTGAACTTATGTACAGATTGTGTAGTTGATGACATGGCGTCTGACACTCCCCCTCCCTCTTAAACTCCAATCTCAGATTACATGACAAATAGGTGTGTATTCTCAGTACGTATTCTCTAGACTGCCAAAGAAGACAATCACAACAGATGATCCTGGGGTCTACTTGTACAGATCCGCAGATCAAATATGGAGGACNATTAGTCGTATTTTGCCTTCTGATCTGATAACGACGACGACTAATCGTGTTTTCATTTCGACTGATCTGATAACGATGACGACTAATCGTGTTTTGCATTTTTGTATAAACCGCCGCCCATACTCCACACACTCCTTCCTTGCAGGGATCTAGCAATTAAACCTAGAAACCATGGTTTAATTTAGTGAAAAAATATTCTTTGAAACTTTCCTTCAGGTACGAGACTTAAGACCAGAGTGATGGAGGAAAATCCATACCCCTATCTTAAGATCAGCGATTTCAGTTGCCTGGAGTCAGTTGACACTAGGAGCCTTTGTCCCAAGTGCAACAAATCCAGGAAATATTACTGTTACACATGCTTCTGCCCTGTGGAAGGATTGCAGGAATCTGTGCCAAAGGTCAAGGTAGGCTCAAGGTTAAGGTCACTTAGTTATTGATGACTAAAAGGTGTATCTTGGCTTCTAAGCTCATCCGTTGTCAGGATATGCAACATCTAGTTGAAATCGCCATAAAATAAAACATGTCATGTGGTGGATTGTCATAAGTGAAATTAAATTGCTTTTTATTAAAATGGGTTGTGTGATTTTGGATAATGTTATATTTATTCATTCACTCATCATTTTGCCATCTTTACACAAGAGACAGTTTTAAACCTTTTACAGTATATTTCTTTACACATACTCCTATTTTGTGCCTTTCAGCTCCCTCTGAAGATTGACATCATAAAACATCGGAGCGAGATCGATGGTAAAAGTACGTCGGCACATGCAGCCACCCTGGCTCCTGATCAAGTCTCAGTCTACACATACCCCTGCATTCCTGACTTCCCTGATAAGTCTAGGGTATGTGAAATTCTCTGTGAGCTGACCTCAGTTTCATAAAGAGACTTAAGTTAGAAACCAGTCTGAGCTTATATTGCTTGAAATGTCATCAGATAATGTTAGAGGTCCCAGTGTTAAAGTGTATATTGTGTTTGATCCAGTGGTTGTTTCTTTTCATTAAGATGTGAAATTTCTAACTCATTCCCATAGACACCAACTGTCTACATAGATCGATGCAACTCTGCAGGGACTCTTGCTGATGGCAACCGGCTTAACTGAAAGACGGACCTCCTCCTGGTTTGAGTAGAATACAGAAAAACTGGTTATGGTACGAGTACATTGGAAACGAGGAGGTGTGTCATTCAATTAAGCTGATTGCAATTAGCAGGAGTCCTGGCAGAGTTGGATCAATCTATGTAGGCTGGTGCCTGTATGGGAATGAGCTCTAAATCTCCAACTAGACATGCACGCAAGTAGGCAAATTGGCATGGAGCTCACACAATCTACCTTTTATACAGACTTGCAGACATAAAATTTCTGTTTTCTACTGTAGGTGGTGCTAGTATTCCCAGGAGAAGATTCGGTCACCTTGGAGCAACTTGCTAAGAAGTGCAGAGTGTTAAGGAAACAGCAAGTAGCATCTCTGCCTGGTTTTTCTGTCACAGATGCTGAGAAAAGAAACAAAGGTGACATGAAGAGTGAAAATTCGGAAATATCAAAAGACCAGGTCAAAGGTCAAGATAGTTGTGATGTTGGGCAGAATGAAGGTCCTAAGGTCAAAGGTCATCAGGAACAGACAGTGTCTGAATTGGAAGCTGTGAATGAACACAATGAAAGTTCTACAGAAAAAGACATCTCCGAAAGTTGCAAATTCAGAGATGATGACGGAGAGCCTCCTGTTAAACAGAGACGTATAAGTTCAGATGAAATAACTTCCAATGATAAGAGTATGCAGCACAATACTGAACAGTCTGTATCACAACAAACGCAATGTGTGGAGTCACAACTACCACAATCAGATCAACCAGATCTGGCGGAAGCATCTGAGAACAACGGCACCCCTCAGGCTATGACACACCCAACGGAATCTAGTGATTCACAACTAACACACTCAAATCTGGCTCAAACTAGAAGTGATGAGAAAATTGACTCTTCAGATCAATGTCAGGCAGATCAGTCCCTGAAATCGCAATCAGAACCTCACAAAACTGTAGGAAATAAAAACACTGCTGTTAAGGACCTGTCTCAACCGACGCAATCAGAGGAATCACACCTAACACAAGCAGATCCAGCCACTCCTACAGTGGAAGAAAGAAATATATATGAGGCTCCTTTTGACAGAGTGGTGTTCATAGATTGTACATGGAATCAGACCAAAAGTATCTTCTGTGATGAGAGGCTGAAAGGTAGAGTTTCTTATTTTTAAAAGGGATTACTCAATTTATTTTAGTACAAGTGAATTTTTTGAATGGGTTTGACATGTAAATTTAATTTTATTTTTTGAATAATTTATGCATTTATTACATATATCCAGGCTGACTTATGTTAAGTTGTTACATAGAAGTAGTTATTGTTTTTATCATTATTTTCCAGGTTTGCGCTGCATTGAGTTGAAGAAGCACAGGACCAAATTCTGGCGCCATCAGCGCAACAAACCTGACACATATCTCGCCACAGTAGAAGCCATCTACTACTTCCTGCGTGAATATCATGATCTCTTTGTTGATGCAGAGTACAATGGCCAATATGACAACATGCTTTTCTTCTTCGCATTTATGTATCAGAAAATCAAGAATTTATTTGATGGTGGAAAAAATCTAAAAGCGTATCAAAAACCAAATAACTAACTTAGAGTGATAACTTTATGTGGTGAGATCTCTGAAACCCTTGCCATATTCTTTAAAGTTTTCCTGTCTTGGATTTGCCCACCATGTCTTCCTGTACATTTCAGAGGAAACATCAACATCAGGTACTTTTATTTTTATGGTATTTTTTTAGGTCAGAATTGGGGAAAATAAGCTTACGTAGACATAGAAAATACTATGGCTTTGGGGCATATGGGGTGGATATAAATGGACTTTTACCTTAGAGAGATGACCCAACTGCATATAGTTGTAGTTTTTTTCTGTAGTTATTTCATACTGCAGTCTTTTACTTTCATGCACTTACATGTCTTAAAAAATTACAAAGACATCAGATAAAACTGGCCAAAGCTTTTGTTAAGCTTGGGAGACTTTTGAGTGACATACATCTGTTGCTTATATTTGTTGTGAATTAATATGTGTACTGCAGGATTTTTCTGTGACTGTTGTGTACTTACACACATTTTAATTGTAAAAGTAAAATTGCAAAGATATTATGCAGTCTATGCTAGGAATTATATTAATTCCTTGGTCTTTGTAGGTTGTACTTGTAACAAGAACTGAGAATAGTTTCACCTGTTCTCTCAGTAGATGGCTGAAATATCCAAGAGGTAGACACAACGTCGTCATTTAGACTAAATTGTAAGTCCAGTAATAGATATAAATAACTTTATTTATGTAAAATTATAAAGACATAAGAAAGTACTGGTTGAACATTTTCAATAAAATTTTGGAAACGGCTTTTGTTTCATTTTTTGAAGTTGGTACAAATAAATTTTACGATCTTGCTCATAGTACGTTATAACTCGACCTGCAGATGTCGCACATTCACCATAAAAAGATAGTTAAACAAAATTACAAATGTGTCAGAAAGTGAGAATTTATAGACGTAGAATATATGACAACCATGAGAAGCTAAAATGGACGCAGTTTCCTCTTCAACTTTCTCTTGCTGATTACGTGAAAGAAAGACTTGCCCACGAGGGACAATTTTCTGGCTTTTTCCGCAAAGAAAAATAGCCCCCGTTTCTTTCCGGTAAAATCATGGCATTAACCGTTCTCGCATTTTGTTTTTCAACGTAAAAATGATCCAGTTCCATTTTGTAATGCCTTAAGGTTTCCGATTCCCATTCCAGAGATTTAACATAGCTGCCACCGTCCTCCTCTTCATCGCTGGACATAAAGTCTTTCACAAGTATTTCTTCCACTTTCTTTTTCTCTTCCTCGCTCCAATCTATGTCCTTGAGGGCAGTTTGTCTTCTGGATAATTTCTGTAAAATTTCAAAGATGTACAAATGACATTAGTCATAAAATCAATACAAAACCTTGAAACAAAAATTAAAGCTTGTTCACCTTGGTGGTTAGGGAAGAATGTGGACATTTGAAGAAAAAAATGCGCGCATAATGGTCTTACGCTCAATGTGCCTAAAATATTTACGAAATATTATTGACGAGATCGTAACTGGCTTATTGAACAAATTTGTCACGGATATTTATTAAATCCAGAGATCATATATTTAATCGATTACTTATAAAATACTTATTAGTAATTTTAAAAAAATAACTATAAAATACTTAAGTCAAAAAAGTTCTTCATAGTTAAAATATAAAAAACAAGTAAGCCCGGATAATGTATCGTTTATTTATTATTTGAGGCTTTGATAAAAATTAAGCTAAATGAGTGTGTAAACCAAATAATTTCTCCATTGTGTAGGGCAAAATTTTATCCATATTTTTTAATTTGGTCGAGCCCAGGCAATAGAGGATACCCATACGTACCCTTTTCAGCCTTTCGTTCCTCCTAATCCGCTCCCTGTGTCTGTCTTTTGTTCCTTCATTGCTTCTCTTAAAGTCGTCTCTCAGTGAACGGTAGTAAACACGACACGCCGCTGAAATAAAAACATGAGACTTTTTCTTGAATTATAGATAGCACCATATATTGTTTCTCAGTAATCTTTTTCTACTGATTTTATTATACTAACTATAATTATATTTTTTGACAATATAGCAAAAACATCAAAGGTTGTTCATAATTTCTTCAAAACCGTGTTTTTGTCAAAATATGCGTTTTTATGAGCATACTCCGATAAAAGGTGAAATCAGTGATAAATTCATTATAATAGTAAATGAATGACCGATATCACAGCCTTCAACATAGAGGTGTAACAATCACGTTTAATAACGAGAAACGTGTAGCCTGAAACCTACCATTTATCATGGGTTCAGACCACTTGGGCGTTCCATCTTGTGAATATTTCCTCCTTATTTCTGTAACTACGGCCTCAGTGACGGCCAGGTTGGGTGGAGCAGTAAAGCTGAAAAAGTAAGATTAAAAATAGGGTTGAGTGATTTAAATTGGATCTCTTTACGTCCCTGCACCGTTAACACTCCCAGTCCCGTTAAAATAAAATTTAATTTAAAACATAATTTTAATACAAACTCCTTACTGAGAATATTGTAATTGTATTGTAATTGGCTGGGTAGAGGAGCAAGGAAGTAACGGTGCTAGATACATCGTAATTTTGCCTGGTAACGATGCGGCGACGTTGTTTCTGAGGTGTCCCCTTCTCCCTTCCAAAACAGTATTACCCCCCCCCCTCCCCCCTCCAACTGGTAAAAGCACTAAATTTTTAAAGATACATACAAAGTCAATTTTTTGTCATAAAAACCAACCAAATGCCAGCATATACTTTCAAGTAGTATAACTAAGAGAATTACCAAAAGGCATTGTTTAATTTTACCCGAAAGTGATGTCCGAAAAGATTTTTCTGCTAGCATTCTACGCTGTACGTCAAAGGGGCAGAAAAGTAGGTCACGAAAGTAGGTTAAATTGACAACCAAAAATTTAAAGAAAGGAGCAGTCTAAAGCTCTTTTATGGTTGATCGGGTGATGTATTCATTTATCCCTTCGCATGTCGAATTTATTAGAGTCGTATAAGAAACTAGTAGAAGTGGTTTATATGTGTTACTGGGAATCCACGCTCCACCGATGCTCGGTTCGTATGTACCTTTAACTGTATATACCTAAATTGCTATCTAAGAAGCAACGAGACGGGGAGTGAGTAACAGTGTTGGCAATATCGTAACTTTGCTGGGGGGAGTAACGAATCGGGAAAGTAACGATGCGCGGACGTTACTTCTAACATGCCCCCTTCTTCCCTCCAAAACAGTTTGCCCTACATGTTACAGTGAAATTGTTCTCGACACATTCTATTTCATATTTGGTTTTAAAAACATTTCGGAAAAACATCCCCCCCCCCTTTTGTGAAGCAAAATCATACATTTACTATGCAGCAAGACTGCGAGCGCACCATACCTTTGCTCAAAATTCCAGCCGACAGAGCTGTGCCTAATTATTGTCCGATAGGTGTCTCTCAAAGCCGTCTGGTGGGAGGCAAAAAGAAAATGTTTCATTATCCTTCAGTGTAATGTATAGCTGATGCACAAATATATATAATATAAGTGTGTTATTTACAAAAAATCGATAAATCTCTCTGGTGAATTTATCTAAGTTATCTTAATCAATGCAAATGTAAGTTCTATTGCGGTGTCTATTAGTGCTTGAGTAGTGACAATTTTTAATTCACAACATTCTTGATATTATCAAATATGAACAATTAAACTAAAAGGAGGTCAAAAACTATTGATAATTAAATTCCCCTGCCTTTTTTAATCCTGGAAAAATCAGTATAAATATGTACTAAGAAATATTGCGTTTTGATTTTAAAAAAAGTAAATCAAATTCTATATTGGACACTCATGTGCAAATGGTATGAGTTCCTCAGTGTCGTATATATCCCATAGACCTCATCAAGGATTTGAGCTTCGTTGTGTTTGTGATTCATTTTCCATTCTTTATTAACTGAAGCGAAAACTGGACAAATCAAAATATAAACTTTGATATTGCATATTAACTTGGCCATGGGAAGATATGGTCTCTATATATTTACAACCGTGAGGGACTTGCATCTTCACATTCACAAATGGCATGTCCCGCTTGCTGTAAGACAACGCCATGCGTGAAGTCTATTTTCACTTGACGTTCTGGCTGACCGCCTCATTTCAATAGCTAAACTATGGCAGACAATTTTAGCCTTGCAGCAGCTATTCTGTCCCAGTAGTGATGCTAAAAACTGTAAATACCAACCCATTTACCAGGTCTGAAAGGGGTATTACATGTGCTGAAACCGCCAATTCTTAACGCATGTACCGGAGCGGAAACGAGTATTAAAGTTGATAAAAGCTGTCGATACATAAGCGCCTTTACTCTGAGCGGATATTCTTTTGTAAAGGTCGTTGCAATTATAATTTCCTCAGCGTGAATAGAAAGCCTGTGTAAAGGCTTAGTATGGTGCGTCTCACATTTTTCAGATGGCGGTTAGACAAGTCATGGAGAGTGCAGGCTTTTATCATTTCTAAAGAGCTTTCCGCATCTGACTGGTTTCTAAAGGGCATTTTCAGAGTCATCTCCTGAACCGTAAAGTA